CTTAAGAACTGAACCCCAATGATTTTGCATTTTAATCCGTTGTAAGATCTACTTACATGCTAAACTTTGGGGCCTTGCATTAGCCACATAAACTACTGTTCCCTGTGGTGATGTTACAACACCTCTCTGTCCTCCTTGTTGATTGGTTGTAACATAGTGGCTAACCGCTTGTGTATTTTGAGGATTTAAGCCTGGAGACAAAGCAGTTGAACCTTGCTGACTATTACCAGTCAATCCTGCTTTATTCGTATTTGATGATGTTTGGTTTTCCTTTATCAAAGCTTCCTTTGTTTCTTCTGGCTTCTGTTGCGCGTGGTCGCTAGAACTTGTAGTCTCCTGCTGTTTGGAACTGGCAGCTCCAGAAAACTGTTTTCCAGTAGAGCTATAATGTTTTTCAGTATCCAAAGCAACCGGTTCTTGGCCTGAGCTCTCTCCGCTTCCGCTTCCGCTTTCTTGTATAGCAGAATCCAGGAAATTGAACAGTTTCTTTACTCCGTCTTTTCTTTTATGAGGAAGCGCGTGGTTTTTGTTCTCTGGGATGTTCGACTTCTTAGTATGCAGTTCAGTGGTATCCCCGTCTGGGAGTGCATGGATTTGTTCATAGAGCCACTGAGGTGAAGGGACAGCTGAAACTAAACAGGTACATGTAAACGAGCCATTGATGAAATACTTAAAAACTAAAAATCTTGATTGCTTTCAGTTTAGCGCACTCCAATAGGCCACGTTCTGTAAATCAGTATTCTAACATGGCTCTGAGGCTTTCAGGAAAAAATTGAAAATTTTCCTTTGTACCAAAATTCCTAAAAGAAAGCTTGCTTTCAAAGAGACCACCACCATATATAGAAGTTTGTCTTGAAAACCTCGGAGCCATGTCACGTGGCGTCTTGGCTGCACTGAACGTATATTTCAGTTATTTTTTTTATTCGCCTTTTTTGTTGGTGAACAGTGAAGGATGTTTATGAAAAACTGTTGATTATTAACGATATCTTAAATCATTTCAAGTTGTGTTTCAAGGGAATTGTATATTATAACCGACAACAGATAAATGTCCCAAAGTAAGCGGATGAAAAATACGAAAATTGATCCATTGATAAGAGATATGAAAAACTTACCAAAACTTAACGTCAAACCAAACAACAAGAAGGACAAAATCAAAAGATGCATGATACAATTGGTGTGGCGGACTTTTTTGCTCAGGGTTGGACTTCTAAGGAAAAATAAAGCAACGTAAGAATGAGATTTCATCAGACCTTCTGGTTCATATAACTGTGATTTGCGGTAAACCTAACATGACTAATGCTTGATTAACATTTATGTTAGTGCAGATCAAGCATGGAGGTCATAAGACATTGAAACAGTGCAATTCTCCCAACTAATTCCAAAAGAAATGTATGGAGACCACAAATTTGAATAGTAAGTGGACGTTCGAGCTTAAGGAAGAAGTTATTCTACCAAATATTAATGTAAGTTCAAAATCTAAGGCCTTTCCGGTAAAGTAGTGTCCCGATCAGTTTTTAACGTGTGTAATTTCTGGTTTGTACGGGTGAAATGGTTCCTTTGTCGCTCGTCAAAGTTTGGCTGAAATTTTGAGGATTTGTTATCCCGAGCTGAGTAACAAGGAATTTTGTTGATAATATGCACTGTTGGTCTGGTGACGAATCTGCATTTTATTCGACACTGTTTTGACATAGCCATGATAATAATTTTCCTGAGAAGACATGTAAACAGTTGTGTCCACCCGTCCCAAATAGAGATTGATCTACGGTTCGCTTTCAGGGTGTAGAATCATTAATTACTGGCCAATTCAATTTGTCACTCAAGAATACAAAATGTAGGTTCTCGATGGCATTGTAAAGTTTTCTTCACACAAGAAGAACCGCGCCATTTGAACTGACTTTTACAATTTTGTACATAGATAGGTGCCGGCACGTAATATTAAAACAATACCTGAAAAAACCAATTAACTTCCAAATAGACTAAAGAAAGAAACACCTGTGATTCAAAAACAGATTTAAAATGAAGATTCCGATATCATGTTTAACTTTCCTACCTTTTAAATCCTTGGAAAAATGGAATAATTGCGGAAGCCTTAGCGATGACTGCAGATTGGATGTTATGGCTGCTGTGAACGAGTCGATAAAAATAACCACGAGTATTTCCTGGAGCTAATCAGAACACCTAAAACAACAAATGACAACATGGCAGCTCTCAGCATCACCTGGTGGTTTGTTTGTGTGCCAAATAAGCAAACCTGTCCGTTTTACCTGCCACACACTAATTGCTTCAACACATCACATGGCCCACCCGTCTAGTTTCAATTCCGGGCGACGTTGGGGAGGAACAGTTGTCATCGATGCACCTGCACAAAAACAGCGTTTATTTGCATAGTAGCCTTTATATATTCTAAACAAATCAATAGTGAAGAGCGGGCGTAACGTTAACGTCTTCAAGTCCAGTTAAAACGGAGATAGAGCGGTTTTTACATAGGTGTCGAAAGTGATACGCTTTCCCTGTAGTTTTGCGTTACTTCGCTGAATGATTGGCTTAAAAAATCGTGCCACTTTGTCATCCAATCACAAGGAGAGCTAAAACTAATAATCGCGACTAGCTCGCACGCGTTTTCCCGCGCTGCGAATCAGTTTTGATTGGTTCATTAGATTGTCTGCGTCCTGTGGGATTTGCCAGAGTGTTGACTTTTATTTTGGTTTCACGACACTCAATCAAAACTCGGTCTAATGCATGGGCATCAATGTTATCTGGAAATGTTGCACAGGTGAAAATTGAATTTTATATTCCATTCTCTCATGCTATGAATCAGTAGAAATACCCAGAATTCGCAATTGATCGTTAACGCCAAAATTTTCCGGATGTATTAGCAGTAAAGCAATATTTTCGCGAATTTCCAATATTTGGCGTTAAGAAAATCTAGCGCTGACTACAGAATTGAAACTCTGACACAGTTACTGTACCAGCTAGAGTAGAGCAAAGACAAGTACAAAAACACCTAATCACTGCGGTCGATCCTTGCTGCGAAACCAAGAGAATCTGTGGCAGACTTTATGCCAGTAGACATGTGATATGAGCTTCAGGCTGACAGTCTCATGTATGCGAGCACATTACCGAAATTGACCCTAGTGTTTCTCTTCTTAGTCTAGGCACGTATCAATACTTTTGGTCAGTGGCGTTGCTAAGCAACATGACTTATCCTGAGGCTGCAGACATACGCTATACTAAACATAGGAGTTTACAGGAGGTTATTGGATGACAAATAAAAAGACGAAGAAGAATTCGCAAAACGATCATGGTCTCGTGGTTCCTTAGAATTATGGATGGAAATTCTTCACGTAATAAAGTACAGAAACCTCTTTCGTGATTGATACGTATGCCGTCGGTTTATGTTAAAATTTCGTTCATTACATGGCAGTCTTTCATTTTAATAAAGGAATATTTAAGTTAAGTCCTAAATAGTGATTGAATTTTTTAATTTTCTCTTAGTTAAAGAGTTTTGTATTTTATGGAAAACGGACAAGCAAGGAATATAGCAGAAGCACGCCCCTTTAAACGGTTCAAAATATGATATTGATTCCTGGAATAAAGATAGATTGCATACAGGTTCTGGTTACAAATCCAGTGAGAAACATTTTCTCTTTTTCATTCTGCGAATGATGCACCTGTTTTAGATGGTATGTTTTTACAGGTACATGAAAAATCCATTTCAATAATCTTTTCTGCGTTACATCAACAAAACGCAGTCAGGTAATTTGTGTGTACGTAGTTTCAATCGGTAAAAGAGATCTCAAAAAGAAAATCTCTCCTAATTTAAAATAAATTGATCGGATAAAACCTATAATAGGTCATGAAACATAACAAGTAGGTGGATTATTATTACAGCACAACTCATATTTACATGCTATAGACGAGGTTACTGACAAACGACACTTACCCCAATACTGAACCTATTATCTTTGGCACCTACCACAATTAAATTGAGCTCCCAAGATTGAACCTAATCCACCTCCGGCACAGCTCCCATCTTCATCCAGTTTATACAGCTAGCAGTTGTTTTCAGCCATAGAGGTAGCAGTTTTCCAGTTAGAACCTCCTTCATAACTGGTTTGCTTTGCATTACCCAAACTAACCATTTTTTCTAGGAATAGAGATCTTATCGGTACGTGAATTCTAACTTTTTACCGCAAACGCTTGATCATCATTTAGCATTTCTCACTTCTTTGGTTCTTAACAGAAACACACAATATGCTCATATTACACCACATTTTTTCCCGTCGAGTCCTTCAGAAAGCTAACAGAACAGAGAATGTTAAATATAGTGGAAAGTTAAGTGCCGGCGTTGTTTGTTTGTCAGTTTTCGAGTGAACAATTGAATGTTTGTTAGTTGCAGTCAAGTCACTGCAGCTAAAAGCTGGGCCTATTTGACAAACTGGTCAGTCTTGCCTGTCTTGCATGTTCATCTATTAATAAACAACTTAAATAGTCATTGTTTTGGGTTTTTATGATTGGTCGAATGATTAACGTACACAAGAAGAAGAAAAGTATACTAGGCACTTGAACCGGAAAGACGACTGAATTAGCACCGCCCTAAAGGCTGAGGGCGCGATTTTACTTCAAAAAGAAAATTTCGTAAATAATTAAACAGAGAAATGAAATTGTATACATATTAATACCTATTAACCGTAGAATACGAATGCAGAGACTCGGACAGGAATAACAGAAATCTGGCGGTTGGAAACTTAATAGCATCTTAGTGTAAGGCTGATAAAACCAACTGATTGACGATGGAGGAAGTAATTGTTCAGAGGTTTTATTGATTGTAGATTTATTTTTCCCATTTTATTTTAACGCAATCGAAGAGCGACTTTGCCCTGCTGTGCAGGTGAGAAATACGTGTTTGACTAAGCGATTAGCTAAAAAATTTGAAATTCATCCAAGTACGCGTGTGACTTTTTAAAACGGCTGAACTGTTCGAGAAAACGCCACAACATTGTACGCTCCTGCAAATTAATGTTGTGAGCTTTGAACTCAATTTAGGATGGGGAACCTTTTTACTATGAGAAAACTGGAGTTTGAAGCACAGCCGAAGAACCAGCGACCCATTATAGGTAATGTGAAATTTGTTAATTTCTTGCGTTAACGTATAACTGGAAATGAAGATAGAAACCTTGTGAGTACATTTCACTGAAACATTGTATAGAATAACTAGACAAAATCCAATAAAGGAGCCAAAAATATCTATTACTTGAAAGCGACTTCTAAATTAAGGCTTTTTCTGTAATTGCCGAGATGAATTATTATCAAAATATACCAAATAATATATCACTGCCTTAGCTACACGAAGCTCAAAGCCTGTGACTTCAAAACCGAGAAATAACTCAGGGGAAGATATTTCAGAACTTCACTCTTCAGGAATTTTCTCGGGCAATGCTACCACAGGATGGTTTGAGCGAAAAGAACGTAATTTACATACGAAGAATCGTATTTCACTGGCAATTGACCAGGAGTTTGGCAGACTTTCAACAATTTGCCAAATTAGCTTTACACAAGCAAATTTTAATTTGATACTGTTATTTGTTTTTCTCCTTCAGGAATTCTCTCTCAGGACAGCTCTGAAAAGTTCGCCAAATATGGAAAGTCATACATAGCGTCGTCTTACGTCAAATACATTGAGAGCGCTGGTGCTCGTGTTGTTCCAATACGGTATCTTTACGAACGCCAACATTCTGCTAATATCGGACTTACGATTACTGAAACTCGAATCTCGATTTCATTACCTTCCTTATAATTTATTTCAAGTAAAAGCCTAGTGTTAAGACAAAATACCCACCATAAGCTTTTGTTCTCAGGAAAACGTGAATCTGGCCCTGGGACTATACAATCAAATCTGGCTCTCTAAAGCAGCGCACAAAACCTATTCGTTTTGTTTTCTCTTCACGTGTGCATACGTGTGCAGTGGCCTCGTGTATAATCAGTGACGGATCCAGACCTTGAGCTAAAGTTGGTGGTGGGGGGCAGTTGTTTTTTGCTTGCCCTGCTGGCTTTTCTTCCGTATGCGATTTTTTGTTAACCAAAATAAGGGGCGAGGGCCGGGCTCCCCAGGCCCCACCCCTAGATTATTTTTTTAATTCTTATTTTGTAATTATTCTTTATTGTTTATTTGCACACGACCCCACAAGCTGCAAGCTTAATTACTTATCGTGTTTAAATTAAGGTTACCCACCTACCTGCCAGATCTGCCACTGATAATTGTCTTTTTGATTGTCTCTTTAACCTTAGGGGCTTATCTTCTTAGTTAATATTTTTCAGGGGCCCATTTTCCGAGAGAAAGCCCAACTCAGATAATTTAACTTTAGTTGGGGTTAACGAACATTGTGTATGATTTTATTATCTGGATTTTTTTGAAAAAATAATAAATTGAAAGCCGGTTAAGGCCCTTGACACTTTGAAGAATTGACTTATCAAAAGAAGAATTGGAATCACTCTTCAACAGCATCAATGGGTAAGTCACCATGTCCAGTTGTTGTGTCTAATGAAATTGAGACTACTGTATTGATAGACACTGTTGATAAACTACTGCTATCTCTGTTCTGACAGGGTGTTGTTTCCAGGAGGAGGCGCTAGTCTGTCCGACTCAGGCTACCTCAGGACTGCGAAGATGATTTATGACCTGGCAATACAGGTAGGACTTTCCGTTAAAGGGAGGCGCGGTGGCCTCATGGTTAGTGCGCTCGCCTCCGGATCAAGCGGTCCGGGTTCGAGCCCTGGCCGGGGACATTGTGTTGTGTTCTTGGGCAAGACACTTTACTCTCACAGTGCCTCTCTCCACCCAGGTGTATAAATGGGTACCGGCGAACTTAATGCTGGGGGTAACCCTGCGATGGACTAGCATCCCATCCAGGGGGGAGTAGAAATACTCCTAGTGGCTTCATGCCACAGAAACCGGGATATGCTCCGGCCTGACGGGCCACTTGGCTCGTATGCAGACTTTACCTTACCTTACCTGTCCGTTAAACACCTATCATAAGTACTCTTTAATAAATCAGTTCCAATCCTTATGACCTGGGGAACTTGGTAACCTGGGGTTTTATGAACTCCGCATGAAGCCATCAGATGTATTGCTACTAATCCCTTGATGGATGTTAATACATTGTATGCTGCCCCCTCCACAAGCAAGGAATTCACGTGGCACCCACGTTGACAACAAAGTGTCTCATCCATGAACACATCTTAGTGGCCTCATTATAAGTTGTTAATAAAATCACAAAAGTTTATTTCCTTAGAAGACTGTTCTAATTTCTTGTGCATTTAATTAAAATTTTATTTCTTGCTTTTGTAAGGCTAATGACAAGAAAGATATTTTTCCCATGTGGGGAACTTGCCTCGGTTTCGAGCTACTCAATGTACTTGCCAGTGGCCTTAAAACTGAGGAACTTTTGGTGTCGTGCGACGCAGAAAATTACTCCATACCACTGGAATTTACAGGAGGTAAAACAGTAACTATAACGACTAGAGTAACCACAATCATGAATTCTCTATAATCAACGAACTAGGACAACCATATGGGACACAAATTACTAACTGCTGAGACGTATAACATTAAAATATCTTACATATAATATCCTGGTGGGTTTAACTCTCGAGTCCAACTTGATTTTTGAAATAATGAGAGATTTTAAACAAAATATGACAAAAACTTTTTCAATAAAATTCAACAAAACAATATCGTACAGTTAGTAATTGATAGTGAAAAATTAAAAAAGAAAAAATAAAATAGTTAATAATAATATCTAATTCTGCAACTAACCTGGAAGTGAAATCAATCAAACAACCAGGAACTAGGAACTAGGTTTGAGTCGCGCGTGGTTCTTTTTAAAGAAAGAAAACCGAAAACCGAAAATATAATTCTAAAACAATTTAAAGGACCCCTATCTAAGGATCACAGGGGAATCAAACTGGCTGTTTCATTTACAGGTTGTTTTGGGTGCTTTGGGAATCGTATGTTTGGTTTTGCACCGGAAGAAGTTTTGAAAACTCTCAAACAACAAGCAGTTGCTTTTAATATGCACAAAAAATGCGTGCCCATCGAGGTAAGTTCTCACTAATGTATTGCATGGTATGCAATACTCCAGCCTTGTCAAAAAGTGTTTTGACAATACAGCTAACTACGGTCTCACCCAGAATCGTTATGACAGCTACATTGTTTCGTTGCGATTAAGAGCTCAGACAATCACTTACTTTTATAGCATTGGGAATTTGAAGGCCTTTTCAAATGTCATCAGAAGCCAAAGACGTTCCTGGGTAGGATGTGGTCTCATACAGGGAAGCGCGAAAATCAAACAGTTTTGGTCTGCAAGGGTTTCAAGAAGAGTGCCGCACATCCCCACACAAATTTTCAGGACGTAGTCTCTCCCCCTCCCCCCACAAAAAATGCGAGCGTCCCCCCAGCCCGAAGGTGGCAGGATTAAATGAATTCCATTATTTTTCTATGACTGGCTCTAACTGTGATCAACAGAAATTCTGGGCAACAAGCAGCCTTGCAGGATTCTTCGATGTCCTCTCAACTAACAAGGATAAGAATGGACTACGGTTTATCTCTACCATTGAAGGTACACCACCTAATCAGTCTGTTGGTGGAATTAGTTATTTCCATTGAAATGCATCAGCTAAACTATTGTTTCTTTATACAAAATTTGAAGACGTAATCCGAAACGAAAAAACTATCAAACTGGACCAGATAGACAAAGCACCGTCCACTTACCGGTATTTTAAAGTCACTTGTCCAACCCAGGTCTTACTTGAAATTCTTACAGGTCAGCTTCGAGTTGCTGAGCACCTGATGTATAAAAAGACAACCATTCCCTTTCATTCTGAACATTTTGGTGTGCTTTTTTTTTTGACTGGAAGAGGGACCAAGGGACTTTGCTGTGGTAGTTTTTAAGTGGAAAGTAACTGGAAAAGGGGGCAAGTAATGACACACAGTTTAATCCAGATTGGTTTAATCCAAGTTTGTCTTTGATTCTTCAACAGGCCAGTACCCAGCTATTGTGACCGAACAAGCTTGGTCAGTAAAGGCCTTATTATCTAGAACAAGAAAACCCTTTTCCTACGGGACAGAGACTAATCATGTTCATAGCCAATCACAGTGCGCGATTTGGTTCATCTTCCCCAGCCATGAGCTTGTCTTACAATAAAGACGATTATATCGTCACCTTTTTTATCATTTACAACATACTACAGGTAAAAAGTATCCAATTTACGGGACACAGTGGCACCCAGAAAAATTCCAGTTTGAATGGGAACCGAAGGAAGCTATTAGCCATTCAACAGACGCCATTGTCGTTGGACAATACATGGCAAACTTTTTTGTAAAGCAAGGTACGCTGGATTAATTTTCAACTTTTACGCGTTAATAAAACAATCTTCGATCACTAATAAACTTGCAGAACTTGAAGTTCCGGTTCAAACAGCTCACATCTTCATCTGTTATGAGTGTTCATGGGTTGTGTCTAGAAAAAGATAAAACAGCCAACAAAAAAAGACATCACTCATCCAGCTAATCGAACAAGAAGCAAACAAGTAGCAAGAAGTTGGCAGCAAGCACTCAAATTTAATGGCGATGTCTAATGACGACCGGCTTTTTTAGATTTTACCGTGACTTGCCGAAACGAATTCACTCTCTGAACTGGTCAGGTCAACCACGCTCGGCACATGGCCGGTTTGTTTGCTTGTCTGTTTAATTGTAGGTCAGAGTCTGATCTGCAAGCAAGCCAAGTGGCCCATACAACCGGAGTTTATCGCGGTTGCTATAGTACTAAGGCCTCAGAGTATTTCTACTGTCCTATGGATGGGATGCTAGTCTATCGCAGAGTTATACCCTAGCATTAAATTCACCGGTACTGTAAGAGTCAAGTGTCCAGCCATGATGACCCGGCCCGGCCAGGCTCAAACCCTCTTGTTTGTTTATAACAGGCCCGTTATGATTGGTTCTTTTACGGAACCCGTTTTCTCTTTTTGGGGCTGGAATGTTGCTCTTGCTGGTTAAGCCAAGCTCTTCTTTTAGTTCTGTTTCCTTTTACGATTACTTGTCATATGTGGTTACTACTGCACATAAATTTTGGGTGCTTACATTTATAAGTTCTAATTAAGAACCCTTTTGTACTCGGTTAAGGGAAACTTGCTTATAGATTGAATATGGTTGTATGTCTTTCTTCCTAATGCTAAAACACTGTGACTCATAGCTACGTTCCTTTTTTCTTTACACAGCTCGGCAGAGCACGCACCACTTTCCAAGTGAGGAAGAAGAGGAAAAGGCACTTATTTATCAGTACAACCCACTGGATACTTCAAAGGAATCCACATTCGAACAGTGCTACTTCTTTTAGCTTCAACCAAACAGTGCTTTCTTCTGGGTATTTGCCTCAAATGTAAGGGGGTATTTTCTAAGAAATTCACGTAAAAATCATCAATACATTTTCTCTCTATAAAATAAACTTTTTTGTAACCATGATTACAAATAAAGGTTGAATTGCCGGCCAACAAAGTCGAGCGACAAATTAAACGTTTGATGGCAATGGTGTACACAACGCTTTTCCCGGTTTAAATAAATCAAAAATACGAGTTGCCAGAATTTAAGTGAGAAGATCGTCAGGAAAGGAAACTGAGGTGATGAAATGTGTTCTGCATATGCTCGCGACTAGTAAAAGGAATTTTTCAGCTGGCGAACATCGGGCTCTGTCAGGCTACTAGCAGAACAAAAAGAAATCAAGTTCCAATTAAGATTCAATCACTGTCAACTGCGAATTAAAATTCTGTCCCTAAATCAGTCTGTAAGGTTCTTACTGAAAGTGTTGTCTTTGTAGAATACACGCACGTAGAAGCATAATTCTGTTTCTAGATCTGTTATCAATAACGGTATTTTAAAGAGTGGGAAACAAAAATAAAACTCGAAACTACTTCTCTCGGCTTGCGAATCGTTTTCGATTTACACTAAACCTCTTGAAGCGACAACCCTTCTAACCTCTGAACGGGTGGCTGCACAACCACAAAGAAAATTCACTCCCCCCCNTCTCTCTCTCTCTCTCGCAAGAAAACCGCCAGTTATTAATGAAATGGCTTTTACACAGGTTGGGTTAATCCAGAATAAGCTCTGTTGTACTTTTTTTTCATTTTAAAACCAGGCGGAGCACCATAACTATAGGAACAAGTGGAGCACCATAACTAGATCTAACTATAGGAACGGAACTACATGCATGTATAGAAATAGAAAACCATGTAACCCTCTTTTCATGGTCAACATGGCCAGTGGCATGGATCGCAGGCGGCGACGTCGCGCAACATGGCGGCCATACTCCGGCTTTTACCTGGTCATGCAGCCTTGGTTTACAGCATACATCTTTGATATTGGATATACGTGTTATGATCAATTGACACATCAAAACAAGGTACATTCGAACCTCCAGTTGCGACCACCTCTCGTACGCAACCGTGACCACTTTTAGAGTTAAAAGTTTGGAATTTTCTATTGTTTTCAACACCTCTCGCAAGCGACCATTTGAAAGATAAGAACTTGGATAATGTGTTGTAACATTATCGCATTCCTGGACAGCGAAGCACTGGTTTTTTTTTTCAAAATTGACTTTTCACATAAATAAAACGTTTAAAACATGGTGTACATCTCTGCAGTTACCTTATGCTAGTGTTATGAGGCAAAATGTTGACCAAATATGATCTAAGCCCTCGTAAGCGACCAGGCTTGACATTTTGGCTGGTCGCTCACGGGAGGTTCGACTGCGTTTATTACTCGGGCTTAATGTGAGTCTTAAAATGCTAGCGTTTTGGTCGCCAAAAGGGGGGGTCATGGTCCCAGGCCTTCCATGCGTAGACCATGGAAACTGGGGACGAGAAACGCGACATAGCTCGCTCTTCGTGACAGAATGCGGTATTTTGTGAAGAAAACTACTAGTATGTGCAATGCAATTTGAGCCTAGTCACAGGACTGTTGTTTTCGCGAAGTTTATCATGATTCGTTTTGGCTCTCTCGAAAGGGATTGTTCGCTCTCCAAAGAAGATATGACTCTTGAAAAGGGTTTAAGATCGCAACACGGCAAAGATGTTCAGCTTCACAATTTACTCGGATCGCCGCGACCAGTAAACGAACTTCGTACAATTTCTGCTAGCGTGTACAAAGTAATCGCCATAAGTTGTAAAAAGGCCTCGAAAATTCTTTGCAAACAACTTCTCCATCAATGCGTAGACAGCTGTGCTTCATTCTTGAACCAAAATGGTTTAAACTCACAACTTGCGATAGGNAACTTGAAAGTTTATGCAAATTATGTGCAATGCAATTTGAGCCTAGTAACAGGACTGTTGTTTTCGCGAAGGAGTTTATCATGATTCTTTTTTGCTCTCTCGAAAGGGATTATTCGCTCTGCAAAGGAGATATGACTCTTGAAAAGAGTTTAAGATCGCAACACGGCAAAGATGTTCAGCTACACAATTTACTCGGATCGCCACGACCAGCAAACAAACTTCGTACAATTTCTGCTAGCATGTACAAAGTAATCGCCATAAGTTGTAAAAAGACCTCGAAAATTCTTTGCAAACAACTTCTCCATCAATGCGTAGACAGCTGTGCTTCATTCTTGAACCAAAATGGTTTAAACTCACAACTTGCGATAGGATGAGGAGGATATTCAACGAAACAACTTGAATAGTAAATATCTAAGCGGAACTCTTGTCCTAAAATATCCTGATTCGTTAATTTGCTTTTATTGTGTCCAATACTCATTTTCGTAAAGTACGATTTGATACTGTGGTACGAAGCCCGAGTAAACGCTCTTAGAGCGTCTAGTCTAAATGTGAACGATCTTTCCGTTTCTTTTCAATTAGTGTGATGATTGCTTGTTTTTGAGAACTAGACATCTCACCTTTTTCGAAACATTCATTAATGTAGTTAATAAAGCTATCGCTAATTACTGGCCAAAATGTCTTATAGAATTCAATAGAAATGCCGTCATTACCAGGAGTTTTATTATTGTCAAAGCTATCAAAGAGACGAAAACATTCTTCTGCTGAAATTTTGCCTTCGCAAAATTTTTTCTGGTCTTCAGAAAGTGTGGGTATATGTAGATCATTGGCCGCGGCCGCACTGGAGAGTTAACCGGGTTATTTCTAATTAATTAATTACGGTTAACCGGGTTACCGAAAAATCGGGATGCAGCCGCTAATTTCGGCTGTTCATGGAACTTAAACCAGGTTTACGGTTACCATGGAAATTAATTGATGTACAATAGATTTTTTAACCGGGTTAGGTTAATTTTAAACCATCTTTTTCCGTTCTTTAACCCAGGTTAGTGGTCTTTTATCAGCAGTCTGATCAGCGCTGCACGGAAGCGAGTGTTTATTTTTGCCATAAATGGCGACAGAATACGACAAAGGGCGTGAAAAGAGTCGAAGCTCATTCGAAAGTACTCTCTAAAAAAGTCATGCATGGCAGGATTCCTATGGATTTCCCCAAACCATCGCTGGTCTCTCGGATATACCCAGACTCGAGGACGATTCATTCGACG